ATATATATATATATATATATATATGTATATATATATATATATGTATATATATATATATATATATTATATATATATATTATAAATATATATAAATATATATAAATATATATATATATATATATATATATATGAATATATAAATATTATATATATATATAAATATTATATATATATATATATATTATAATATATATATATATATAATATATATATATATATATGTATATATGTGTGTGTGTGTGTGTGTATGTGTTTGTGAATATATATTATATATTATATATATATATATATATATATATATATATATATATATATATATATATATATATATATAGATCGATAGATAGATAGATAGATAGATAGATAGATAGATATAATTATGTATATATAACTCTAATATATACACACACACACACACACACACACACACACACACACACACACACACACACATATATATATATATATATATATATATAATATATATATATATATATATATATATATATATGAATATGTTTATATATATACATTTTGAAATATTTGTTGAATGCCTTTCAGTTTCGTTAAATTAGTAAGTTTTTATATTTGAAAACAAATTGCTGTTAACAATGGTTTAATGACTCACAAGAATGCAGGTGAGCACCGTACTGTACGACAGTTGTTGGTGAAAAGACACGCTCACTTTGCGTGATCCCCGTCATTGTTTTTTTCTTGCCTCAGGGCAGTCGTGTAAGAAGAAGGGGGAGGCTTATAAAATTCTTATAAAAGTCTTTTCAAACTTAAATAACCTTTTAATTATATAAAGAATATTTAATGTCAATATGTTACATAAAATGAATATTCTGAATGAAAATTAGACCAATCCATGGACTCACCCAAACACAAACACACACATTTACACACGTCTATATATACGTATACTTGCATGTTTATAAATACATGTATATAGATATATAGCCAAATATATTATATATACTTATATTTTTTTCTAGGACCGCCTTTGAAGGAAGAAGCCTGTAAATTTCCTCGTGGAAATATGGTGGGTTTATATTTTCTGTAATATACCTATCGTTTAACTATTAGAATATTTTTAAAACATTTCTTTTGCTGTTTTTCATAAAGTCTGCACCTTTATATCATCTTCATGTGGAATATATTTGATCTTTGCTTCATTTACGTTTCGCTCTTGCTGTCTCTTTCTTAAAAGAAATAACCGTTTCAAATTTTGGTCTCTTTTCTCAGAACAAAAGAGGATGTCGGTCAGATATTAATTTGGCCACACAAAACTGTCCAGTACCTGAAATGAGACCTCAAGTTCTACAGGAGTATCATGGATCTGGACAACCTTTTGGACATCATATTAGTTACGGAAATACTCCTCCATTGTATGCGCCACCACAAGGCCATATCGATGGTTCAAACTATGATGTCCCGTCTCGCTATCAAATTCCGAGGAATATGGGGCGTTGCAGTCCACCGCCTGCTTACCAAGAAGTAGATGGAATGAATAGAGAGAGAATTTCTTCAATAGTGAAAGCCCTTGCACTGTTAAATGGCCAATGGGCTACTGCAGAAAACATTGGGAAGCTTGCTGAGTGTGACAAAAATACAGTTGAAAAAGTTGTGAAGGCTAATAGAAATTTGTTTTCTGCAATGAATGATGGGAAACAAGTTGTGATTGAACTTGTTCCCAAAATCGGTATTTGCATGGCTTACCTATCAGATGACGGCTGTAAATCGCAAATTGCTTGCGAAGATATTCACATCTGTAAGCATTTCATATTTAATAGGTGCACTTCAGGATCTGGATGTCACTTTGGCCATAAATGGGATACAAGTCACAACGGCCACGTCCTTTCAAAGTTGTACCTTGACAGGATTGATAAAAGTGTCCTTCATCAGGTTATGAAGAAAATTTGCAAGGGGATTTTGCCTCCACAAATCTGTAGTTACTATAACTCAAAGAGTAGCTGCAAATATGGGGGGAAATGTGGACAACTGCATATATGTAAACAGTTTGTTTTGAGTGCAGGGAAATGTTTCTGCAGTTCTTACAACCATGATATTTTAACACCACATTGCAAAAGGATTCTTAAAAATCATGATCTATCTGTCAACGAGTCTCCTCGTGATATCATTATGTCCCTGAAAGCAGTAATAACAAAGGAAGACAATATAGAAACACAAAATATAAATGCAAGTGACACACAGGCAGCAGCTGAAAATAGCAAAGGTGAAAAAAAGCTACGAGACACCGAAAGCAATGCAACAGAAAGAAAAAAAATAGGTAAAACAAAAAACACCCCTGCCAAGAACACAGAAAAGGAAAGTAACAAGGAGAGACCAAAAGAAGATGAACCTCAAAAAGGAAAGAAAACATGCTGGTCAACTGATGTTTTGGGGGATGTTAAGATACCAGAAATATGTCTATTTAGCATTAATGACAGGTGCAGAAATGAAAAGAAAGGCTGTGATTACCTCCATGCCAAATCACTCTTTCACTGGCAAGCTAAAAAGAATCAACACTGGTATAACTTGCGCATTTTTCAGTCAAAGATGCTTGAAAGTGCTTACCGTGATGTTTCCAAAGGCACTGTCACAATAAGCCCCTTAAATGATAGTAAGCTTAATGACAGTGCCAGAGAATTGTTGTCAGTTTTTGGAACTCGATCATGGACAGCAGATTTTCAGGCAATGACCATCAAAAGTTCAGATCAGAAGAAACTTGCAATAAGAAGAATTTCAACTAAATCAGCAGCAGAATCTACCAGTCCCAAAGCTACTGTATATAGATGGTATTTCATAGATGATCAAGCTAATTGGATTCCATATGGGGATGTAGACAGTCTTGGCAAGCAAGAGTTTATATGCGCTGTTACGAGTGAAGAAATCGAGAAACAATTTATATCTGACTTCTTATCCTGCATGGAAATATCAAATTCAAAATTCAAGTATAAATTAGATTTTTCGAAGATGCGGCAAATTAATTTAAATACAGGAAAAGAGAGGGAGATACGTCGTCGACCTGCACACCTTTCCTACCAGAAGAGGTGTGAATCAGACCAAGAAGCCACTCTCCCAAGCCACTGGAACCCCATGCCAAGCAACCAAACACACTCCCTCCAGCACCTTGATGCCAGCAGCTCTGAATACCTAGATATTGCCAGACTAGTCCGGATGACATTACCAACTCTGAATATAGTCCGTATACAGAGATTACAGAACCCATATCTATGGAGACTTTTCCAGTACAAGATCGCACATTTGAGTTGCAGGTAATGTAGGTATATATTTTTTTTATATCGATTTCAATTTAAGGTTAATTACATTTCATCTTTCTATCATTTTTTATCTTAAACACTACAAGGGTAAAACACACCCTTTGATTGTCTTTTTGCTTTGTGAAGTAGGGAGGGCGAACTTTTATGAATACAGAATCACAAAATCCGGATGAATCAAGTATTGCCATGTCAAGGTAACAATTTGCTTAGACGTATCTTTAAATAGAGAGAAAGTATAGTCAATTCTTAAAACCAGATTTTAGTAGGGAAAATTTTAATTTAAGAGATGATAAGTGGTACTAAAAGAAAAATGCCTATTTCTCCTGTTGTGGTGCGGCCACACCGAACGCGATGGTGCTCGGTGGCGCGGGATGGCCGGCCACACCGAACGCGATGGTGCTCGGTGGCGCGGGATAGCTGCTCGGTGGCGCGGGATGGCCGGCCACACCGAACGCGATGGTGCTCGGTGGCGCGGGATGGCCGGCCACACCGAACGCGATGGTGCTCGGTGGCGCGGGATGGCCGGCCACACCGAACGCAAAGGTGCTCAGTGGCGCGGGATGGCCGGTCACACCGAACGCAATGGTGCTCAGTGGCGCGGGATGGCCGGCCACACCGAACGTGATGGTGCTCGGTGGCGCGGGATGGCCGGCCACACCGAACGCGATAGTGCTCGGTGGCGCGGGATGGCTGCTCGGTGGCGCGGGATGGCTGGCCACAACGAACGCGATGGTGCTCGGTGGCGCGGGATGGCCGGCCACACCGAATGCGATGGTGCTCGGTGGCGCGGGATGGCTGCTTGGTGGTGCGGGATGGCCGCCCACACCGAACGCGATGGTGCTCGGTGGCACAGGATGGCCGGCCACACCGAACGCGATGGTGCTCGGTGGCACAGGATGGCCGGCCACACCGAACGCGATAGTGCTCGGTGGCACGGGATGGCTGGCCACACCGAACGCGATGGTGCTCGGTGGCACGGGATGGCCGCCCACACCGAACGCGATGGTGCTCGGTGGCACGGGATGGCCACCCACACCGAACGCGATGGTGCTCGTGGCACGGGATGGCCGGCCACACCGAACGCGATGGTGCTCGGTGGCACAGGATGGCCGCCCACACCGAACGCGATGGTGCTCGTTGGCGCGGGATGGCCGGCCACACCGAACGCGATAGTGCTCGTTGGCACGGGATGGCTGGCCACACCGAATGCGATGGTGCTCGGTGGCACGGGATGGCTGGCCACACCGAACGCGATGGTGCTCGGTGGCGCGGGATAGCCGGCCACACCGAATGCGATGGTGCTCGGTGGCACGGGATGGCTGGCCCACACCGAACGGGATGGTGGCTCGGTGGCACGGGATGGCCGCCCACACCGAACGCGATGGTGCTCGGTGGCACGGGATGGCCGGCCACACCGAACGCGATGGTGCTCGGTGGCACGGGATGGCCGGCCACACCGAACGCGATAGTGCTCGTTGGCACGGGATGGCCGCCCACACCGAACGCGGTGGTGGTGCTCGGTGGCACGGGATGGCTGGCCACACCGAACGCGATGGTGCTCGGTGGCACGGGATGGCTGGCCACACCGAACGCGATGGTGCTCGGTGGCGCGGGATAGCCGGCCACACCGAATGCGATGGTGCTTGGTGGCACGGGATGGCTGGCCACACCGAACGCGATGGTGCTCGGTGGCACGGGATGGCCGCCCACACCGAACGCGATGGTGCTCGGTGGCGCGGGATGGCCGGCCACACTGAACGCGATAGTGCTCGGTGGCGCGGGATGGCCGGCCACACCGAATGCGATGGTGCTCGGTGGCGCTGGATGGCTGCTTGGTGGCGCGGGATGGCCGGCCACACCGAACGCGATAGTGCTCGTTGGCACGGGATGGCCGCCCACACTGAACGCGATGGTGCTCGGTGGCACGGGATGGCTGGCCACACCGAATGCGATGGTGCTCGGTGGCACGGGATGGCTGGCCACACCGAACGCGATGGTGCTCGTGGTGCGGATAGCCGGCCACACCGAATGCGATGGTGCTTGGTGGACGGGATGGCTGGCCACACCGAACGCGATGGTGCTCCGGTGGCACGGGATGGCCGGCCACACCGAACGCGATGGTGCTCGGTGGCGAGGGATGGCCGGCCACACTGAACGCGATAGTGCTCGGTGGCGGGGATGGCCGGCCAACCGAATGCGATGGTGCTCGGTGGCGCTGGATGGCTGCTTGGTGGCGCGGGATGGCCGGCCACACCGAACGCGATGGTGCTCGGTGGCACGGGATGGCCGGCCACACCGAACGCGATGGTGCTCGGTGGCGCGGGATGGCCGGCCACACCGAACGCGATGGTGCTCGGTGGCGCGGGATGGCCGGCCACACTGAACGCGATAGTGCTCGGTGGCGCGGATGGCCGGCCACACCGAATGCGATGGTGCTCGGTGGCGCTGGATGGCTGCTTGGTGGCGGGATGGCTGGCCACACCGAACGCGATGGTGCTCGGTGGCACGGGATGGCCGGCCACACCGAACGCGATGGTGCTCGGTGGCGAGGGATGGCCGGCCACACTGAACGCGATAGTGCTCGGTGGCGCGGGATGGCCGGCCACACCGAATGCGATGGTGCTGGTGGCGCTGGATGGCTGCTTGGTGGCACGGGATGGCTGGCCACACCGAACGCGATGGTGCTCGTGGCACGGGATGGCCGGCCACACCGAACGCGATGGTGCTCGGTGGCGCGGGATGGCCGGCCACACCGAACGCGATGGTGCTCGGTGGCGCGGGATGGCCGGCCACACTGAACGCGATAGTGCTCGTGGCGCGGGATAGGCCGGTCCACACGAATGCGATGGTGTCGGTGGCGCTGGATGGCTGCTTGGTGGCGCGGGATGGCTGGCCACACTGAATGCGATGGTGCTCGGTGGCGCGGGATGGCCGGCCACACCGAACGCGATGGTGCTCGGTGGCGCGGGATGGCCGGCCACACTGAACGCGATAGTGCTCGGTGGCGCGGGATGGCCGGCCACACCGAATGCGATGGTGCTCGGTGGCGCTGGATGGCTGCTTGGTGGCGCGGGATGGCTGGCCACACTGAATGCGATGGTGCTCGGTGGGCGGGATGTCCGGCCACACCGGACGCGATGGTGTTCGGTGGTGTGGGATGGCCGGCCACACAAATGCGATGGTGCTCGGTGGCGCGGGGATGGCTGCTTTGGTGGCGCGGGTGGCTGGCCACACCGAATTGCGATGGTGCTCGTGCGCGGATAGCGGCCACACCGCGAGCCGATGGTGCTCGGTGCGCGGGATGGCTGCTTGGTGCGCGGGATGGCCGGCCACACGAACGCGAATAGAGTGCTCGGTGGCGCGGGATGGCTGCCACAATGAACGCGATGTGCTCGGTGGCGCGGGATGGCCGGCCAACCGAATGCGATGGTGCTCGTGGCACGGGATGGCTGGCCACAACGAACGCGATGGTGCTCGTGGTGCGGGATGGCCGGCCACACCGAAGCGATAGTGCTCAGTGGCGCGGATGGCCGGCCACACCGAATGCGATGGTGCTCGGTGGCACGGGATGGCTGGCCACAACGAACGCGATGGTGCTCGGTGGCGCGGGATGGCCGGCCACACCGAACGCGATAGTGCTCGGTGGCGCGGGATGGCCGGCCACACCGAACGCGATGGTGCTCGATGGCGTGGGATGGCTGCTCGGTGGCGCGGGATGGCCGGCCTCACCGGACGCGATGGTGCTCGGTGGCGCGGGATGGCCGGCCACACCGAACGCGATGGTGCTCGGTGGCGCGGGATGGCCGGCCACACGAACGCGATGGTGCTCGGTGGCGTGGGATGCTGCTCGGTGGCGCGGATGGCCGGCCTTCACCGGACGCGATGGTGCTCGGTGGCGCGGGATGGCCGGCCACACCGAATGCGATGGTGCTCGGTGGCGCGGGATGGCTGCTTGGTGGCGCGGGATAGCCGGCCACACCGAACGCGATGGTGCTCGGTGGCGCGGGATGGCTGCTTGGTAGCGCGGGATGGCATGGAGGTAATTGGAATCCTTAAATACTTTGTATATTAAAAAGATCCCTGATCCTCTTCCACTGTTCAGAAACAGCTAATCTGCAACTTATATACGGCATTCCGAATGCATTGGGTCTATAAAACCTCGGCAGTAACACAACATTATTCTCTCTCGTCCCTGCGGTATCGTACTTCGCGCGAG